AGCCTCATGCAGGGCGCCGCCCAGGAGAACCGGGAGCTCAGGGCGCTGATCTCGGAGCTCGGGCTGGGCTACAGAGAGCTGGTCAAGGACGTGGTGCTGGGAATAGAGGACATGATCGGGGCCCTTCGCGGGGAGAACGCGCACCTTCTGCGCAGGATCTGGGTCCTGGAGAGGGAGGTCGCCCTGGGGGTGAGCTCAGAGGCGGGGCGTCCGGGGGGAGCAGAACAGCGCCCCCAGCGAGAAAGCCAGGAGGCGGTGGACAAGGTGGAGGCGGTGGACAAGGTGGGGGCTGTAGAAAGGGCGGTGCAGGCGAGTCCGCCGTCAGAGCCGCTGACCGCGCGAGTCCACAGGCCGCCCTGGGAGGAGGGCCCGGGTCTGCCCAGAGAGAGGATGGGCCCCTCCTCGGGCACAGAGGGTCCCGGGTGCGGAGCCGGGGCGGCCACTCCATCGCCGGCCAGGAGAAGGGCTGATGTGTCCGGTGCCCTGCGAGGAGACCTCCACGGGATGGGAGTGGAAGAGGCACAGCTGGGGAGAGAGGAGGAAGGACCGCGGCGTTCTGCAGCCCCAGGGCCGGTGCTCAGGCCCCTGGGCAGCGGCCACCAGGTAGGCTGACTGCGTAGCTGCCTCATCTCCTCTTGCTAACGTTCTAGACTGCTGCCCACCCCCTCATGCATGCCGCCCTCCCGCAGCTCGGAGAGGAGGCACAGTGCCACCCCCATTGACCAGGCGAGAGATCACAGGCCCCGGGGAGTCAGTGAGCAGAGTCCCAGGCTAACCTGATCACCCGCAGGCCACAGAACCGCGTGCACGAGTCTCTCAGCATGCTCTCGTCACATGGACGGGTGCTCCAGCGTGGCCAAAGGGAGCAAAGGCACAAAGATATAGACTGAATTTTACAAAAAAAATAGCCCTAGCTGGTTTGGCTCAGTGGGTAGAGCGTCAGCCTGTGGACTGAAGGGTCCCAGGTTTGATCCTGGGTTTCATGCCTGGTTTGCAGGCTCCATCCCCAGTAAGGGGCGTGCAGGAGGCAGCCCATCAGTGATTCTCTCTCATCATTGATGTTTCTATATCTCTCTCTCCTTCCCCCTTCCTCTCTGAAATCAATAAATATATGTATAAACACAGGAAAGAAAAACAGATATGTGGGCATGTATGTATGTATGTGCACACCTGGGTGTCTGCATAAATGCTCTTAAAAATAAAAATGTAGACTCCAGGCCACTGGGGGCAGCAGCATCCCCACCACAGTTCCCACCGCCTTCCTCTCCCTCCTGCCCCCTGAAATCCCCTGCGACACCCCAAAAAGCTGCTGGCGTTGGGCCCACAGTGAGAGGGACTGCTCTGCCCGGCCGCATGGCTCACCTATGAACCAGGAGATCAGGGTTCGATTCCCGGTCAGGGCACATACTGGGGTTGCGGGCTCGACAGCCCATCAATGATTCTCTCTCATCATTGATGTTTCTCTCTCTCTCCCCGTCTCCCTTTTTCTCTGAAATCAATAAAAAGATATATTTTTAAAAGAAATCTGTTTAAAATGCAGTATCTTCTGGTGGATGTAAATGCGCTATGAAGGGTCCCTGTGATGAGCCTCTCACAATTGGGTGTGAACGTGAAACTCCACTCACCACCCTGTGCTTCAGGACAGCGGTGACCGGCAGCTTTAAATCGGACTCCAAAATGCCGTGCTGTTTCCCGTGTTTTTTTTTTTTTTTTTTTTTTTTTTTTTTAATATGGGTGAAAGAGATTGTTTTGAAAATAATGTTTTAAGATTATTATTGTCAGACCTCAGTTTCCCAGACCTGCCCCCGACATCCACCCTGGAGAAGCCCGCCACGGGCCGCACACGCACGCCCACGTGAGCACGTGTGTAAAACACAGAGCAAAGGGGAAGAAGACACGTGGGGAATGACGACGGTGACACTGGCTCATGGGATTAGGAGTGATTTCTGCTCCTTCATTTTCTCAAAGTTTTAACTGTTCGGAAAACATGAGCAGAAAAAAACATTGCCCTGCTCGCTGTGGCCCAGTGGTTAGAGCATGGGCCCGAGCACTGAAGGGGCTTGGGTTTGAGTCCCGGTCATGGGCACACACCTAGGTTGCACGTGTGATCCCCAGTCCCGGGTGGGGCATGTCTGCGAGGCAGCCAATAGATGTGTCTGTCTCACATCGTTGTGTGTGTGTCTCTCTCTCTTTTCCCTTCCCTTCCACTCTCTCTAAAAATCAACGGAAACATTATTCTCGGGTGAGGATCAGCAACAAGAAATGCATTTGCGAAGGCAAATTGCTGGGAAGGTAACTGAGCCTGTCACTGAGTCTGTGTCCGCAGCCCCAGGACGCCGAGGCCGAAGCCGGGACCCCGGAGGACCTCAGGCTGCGCGTCCGGCGGCTCCGCCACCAGGTGCTGACCCTGCAGTGGCAGCTCAGGGACCAGGCGTCCGCGGGCCAGCAGCTGCAGGTGGCCCGCGACCAGGCCCTCCGTCGCCGGGACCAGCTCCAGGGCCAGGTAGGCGGGCAGGGCGGCCTCTCTCGTAAACCGGTGGCCCCACCTTCCGGAAAGTTTTGAGAACGGAAAAAGGAACCAGGTCAGACCTCACTGGCCATTTCCAGCAACTGGTTAGTATTTATTAGATTTACAAAGTACAGGGCAGCATAGAGAGAAAAACTCCATCCAGTTCACTGCTCGTTCTAAAAAGAACACAGATCCTGTGGCTTCGGACCTGTTCAGGGACCTGTCTGTGTGGGGGAGACGTGAAGCTACACAGGTGATAAAACTGCACAGAGCCCGGTACACAGACACAGATACACACAGACAGACACACAGAGACACAGACACAGATACACAGACAGACATACACACACAGACATACACACAAACACAGATACACAGACAGACATACACACACAGACATATACACAAACACAGATACACAGACAGACATACACACAAACACAGATACACAGACACAAACACACATACACACAGACATACACACACAGAGACACATAGACATACACATATACCAGACACAGATAGACAGACACACACAGAAACACAGAGAGACAGACAGACAGACAGACACACACACACACACACACACACACACACACACACAAGTACAAGTTAAACTGGAGAAACCTGAATAAAGCTGGCGGAGTGTATCAATATAATGTAACTGACATTATTTGGTTTCAAAATGCTCCCTTCAGGGGAAACCAGGGAAATACATGAAATAACGGAAATATCCGGGGACTCTGTATGACTTCTTACAGCTGCATGTAACGCTGTAATCATCTCAGTTTTTAAAAATGTGCTTCCTGGAGGTTCGTAGGTCTTCTTTGGAGAAATGTCTATGCAGATCCTCTGTGCATTTTGTAGTTGCCTTTGCTGTTGTTGAGTTGTAAGAATTTGTTATACATCCTAGATACGAGCTCCTTATTAGATACCTGACCTGGAAATGTTTCCTCTCCTCCTGTTGTCTTTTCACTTCCTTCTCGTTGACTTTGTGACCGGAAAGGCCCGGTACCCAGTTCACGGCCACAGAGTCAGGCCGCCTCCTAAACGGAAGCAGACAGAAGCCTTCCCCAACGCCTGCCCATCATCGAGCGCCTCTCAGTGTCCGACAGCCGGCTAGGAGCTGGCCTTTCACTCCGAGCATATCCCGAAAGGAGCCAAAACACATACACAGTGGTCACTGGTCTGTAAATAAAGAAGCAGAAACAATATACATTTTCATAAACAAGAATTAGCTAATAAATTATGTTTCCGCCTCATGATGAAATAATATGCAATATTTTAAAAGAACGTGATCAATTTGTGTTGACATGGAAATAACACCACGATATTAAATCAAATGAAGAAACAAGATGAGCCCTGGCCGGTTTGGCTCAGTGGATAGAGCGTCAGCCTGTGGACTGAAGGGTCCCGGGTTCGATTCCGGTCAAGGGCACATGCCCAGGTTGCAGGCTCTATTCCCATTGTGGGGCGTGCAGGAGGCAGCCGATCAATGTGTTTCTCTCACATCAATGTTTCTCTCCGTCTTTCCCTCTCTCTTCCACTCTCTAAAAATCGATGGAAAAATATCCTTGCGTGAGGATTAACAACAACCAAACCAAACAAACAAAAAACAACACAAGATGTAAGGCATTCTGCATGTGGTTTCACCGCCCCCCCCCCCACACACACACATTCTAATTACGGGCGTGTGCTTAGGATCCAAGGTGGGAGAAGAAGAGGGACTTTTGCTCGTGGGGACAGGAGAGAGAGTGAGAAGAACTCGATGCCCACTGTGGCACGGCCTGTGAGGTTGTGGGTCAGGCACTCAGGCGGCCTTGCCGGGCGTCCTGCTGCGCAGGCACCTGGGACCCCTCGGTTCACCGGGCGCTGGGCTGGCTGGGAGGCCCAGGTGGCGTCTCTCAGTGCCTGGCCCCTCTGGCCCGGGTGGTCGCCCTGGCTTACAGTCCTTGGGTGCCAACTGGGTGCCAGGCCTGGTCCTAAGCACTTCGCAGGAGTTGTTCACGGAGTCCTGGCTGCAGTCACCCCTGCATGGGCCCCAACGTCACCCACACCCCAGATGGGAAGACGGAGGCAGAGAGAGGAGTTCGCACAAGGTCACAGGTCCAGGGAGTGGCTGGGAATCGCAGGTTTAAGTGGTGCCAGAGGCTCCGGCACCTGGTGGGGAGCAGTGTCGGAGCCGGCAAGGGGGTCACTCGCCCGTGCCCAGGGCGCCCTGCCTCCCGACCCTGCCGAGGTGACAGGTGACAGGAAAGGCCGTCCCCCGAGAATTCCTGTGGGAAAGGAGGGGACAGGAGCCGGCCTGGGTGAGCCACCCATGGGGGAGGGAGGGGCTGTGGGACAACGGCTCAGCCCTGGCAACACGTGTCTTTTCCAGGTGGACGAACTTCAGAAAAAGCAACATGAGGCAGTCTTGGCCGTGACCCCTTTGAAGGTAACGCATGTGCGCAGTCAGTAGAGACGGCCTTTTCAGAAAAGGCCGGTATTTTCCCGTTAGAGACGTGGCCCATCTCTGTTCTGTGACAGTCCTGGGAGGAAGAAGGACAGACAAAGCTCACTCCCAGTTCCCACGGACTCCGGCGTGCTCCTGGGTCCGTTCCCGGGTGTCTCACACGGGGCGCCTGGGCCCACTGCCGGGAAACTGACAGGCCAACAACCCTGAACCCATGGGAGGGCAGTGCCACCCCCGCCCCTAGAGCGGAGGGCACCGGGAAGGCCTCCCTTGGGATGACAGGCCTGTCACCCCTCCGGACATGTGCAGACTTTTCATGGTCGGAGGGTCACTCACTCATGTCGTTCATGTAACAAATCCGTCCCGAGTGCCGCACAGTGCCCAGTGATGACACAGCGACAGCGCTGGGGCCCAGCTTTGACCTGGAGGCGCTCCCAGGCTGTGTGGAAGGCAGGTCCACAATGTAAATTACCTGCAGGGATGGGCGGAAGCCAGGGCACAGAGGGACGCCCGGCGCTGAGCATCCGGGAAGCCTGAGAGGGAGGTGACACCCGGGGAGGCGACACCAGGCTGGCCTCTGGAGAGGTGGTCAGGCTTTTCTCGGCTTGGGACGTGTGGGAGCCACAGAGGAGTGAGCAGCAAGTTCTGGGGTTGGGCTGGGGGTGACCAGTGTGGCAGGAACAGGAGGGAGAAGGAGGCCGGGCCACGATGGGGCTGGAGGGGTGCAGGCAGGTCTAAGAGTCAGTGGTGGCGGGGGGCAGGAATGGCTGGCCCTGTGTGGGTGCCTGGCCTGGACTGTCTCCTTTGGTCCTGGTGCCCTTAGCCATGCCCACTGTACAGAGGAGCAAGGGGAGGTGCAGAGAGAAGCTTGGCCACATCGCTGGTCAGTGGCAGAGCCTGAGCCCACACCCTTGACCCATCTGGAGGGCCTTCAGAAGGCAGTGGGAGCCCCTGGGGTGCAGTGGAGGGAGAGGGGACGCAGGCAGCTTGCTGTCAACTCAGTCAACTGTCAGCATGACTCTGGCTTCCGGGTGGAGGGAGGGGAGGAGGGAGGGCTGTGCTGGGTGGGGCTGGGGATGCAGAGCAGGGAGCTGACGCCGCAGCCCCTGGGAGCCCTGTGTCTGAGGACCCACCTGCTGTGTCCTCGTCCCACAGGCCAAGCTGGCCTCCCTGGTCCAGAAGTGCCGGGACAGGAACCACCTGCTCACGCGCCTGCTGCAGGAGCTGTGCCGCCATGGGCTGGCCGATCGCCTGCTCTGCCAGACGGTGCGCAGCATGGTGGACGATGTGGCGCTGGCCGAGTACACAGCCACCTTCCTGGCTCCCGGCGTCCCAGAGGTCAGTTCCCAGAGGCAGCCCTGCCCCTCTTCCTGTGGGGCCTGTGGGCAAGTGACCCGGTCCACCTGCCTGGCCTGCACTGTCCCCCCTTTCTCCCTCTGCCCACTGACGCCGCGGGGAACGCGCCCTGAACGCCTCCTCTGTGCCGGCACCTGTGCTTGGGGCTGGCGTGGGAAGGGCGTCTGGCCGTCCTTACCCGTAAAGTGCTCACCACACGATGCAGGAGACAGACCACAAACAGCGGCTTGAGTTCTGTGTCACGCTAGCCCTGTGCCATTGCTTCACCAGAAGGCTCTCTCCCGTGTGCCTCAGGACCTTAGCACGTGCTGCTTCCTCTGGCAAGATTCTTGTTTGCCCTCCAGCCTCCTATCCAGCCTTCAGGGCACAGTTCGAGTGCAACCTTGCCCAGGGAGCTCGCTCTGAATCCCCTAGACCACAGAGCTAGCCACACTCCCTCTGTCCTCCGAGGCACGTGGCTATGCCTGAGGGGTAACATGGGAGGAATTTCCCCCCTGATGTGGCAGGAGTTTGGTTGGCACCTCTCTGTTGGGGCCAGAGCCGCTCCACAGTCACCTCTGTCTCCCTGGTACCTGGCGCAGAGAGCTGCGCAGGGAGTTTTCAGGTGAATGAATGAAATCGTGAGTTAAATGAAGGAGGATCTCCTCTCCTAATGGTCAGTGAAAGAGGAAACAGGCTCGGAGAGGTTGGGAGTCTCACTCAAGGTCACACAGCCCCCAGGTAGTGTAGCAGGTGATGAAAGCCCGTTCTGCCCCAGGTCTGGTAACAGTGCTCCTGGGTCTGCCTGGCCCTGAACAGCAGTGCCTGGCGTCCGTGTGCGCGCAGCACCCACGGGTGCTCAGCCAAGCCTGCGCGCGCGCGCGCGCACACACACACACACACACACACTGTCACACACAGGTGTGCAACCCCATTCGGAGGACCAGCCAGCAATGGTGTGCGGGTGCATTGCAGCTCCTGCTGCGGGCACAGCAGCCCTGGTTTCCTGGCTCCTGCTCTCGGCAGCTGAGCACCAGGCCTGTGTCTCCCCCTCCGCCTCCCCAGCCCAGCCTCTGCAAAGCCCACCTTCTCCATCTGTCCTTCCCCACGGCCTGCGGAGAGCTGACCCTGGTCCAAGCCTCACACGGCGGAGCAGACGGAGACCTGGAGGCCGCGGGCCTGCTCGGGGCCACACGGCCACTTGGTTCAGAGCAGCCTTTGAATCCGCAGCCTCAGACCCCGGCCCAGTGCTGGTCTCTTCCCACCTCTCAGGGCCAGGGAGTTTGGAGGGACTTGGTCAGCGTGCTGTTGGAATGGCTGGCGCAGTTGACTGAGGCAAACCGAAGCCAAGTTTCAGGGCCTGAGACCCAGGAGGAGTCAGTCACCTGGGAGGGAGGAGTCAGGGCAGGAGAGCCCCGCCCTCCAGGGCTGCTCCAGTCCTGCAGGCTCTGAACTTAGAACTGAAACGGCCGCTGGGATTGCACAGGCTGACCTGCAGGGACCAAATTCACAGAGACTGATGTATAAACCCGCAAACGAATTTCTTCATTTCCCCTGAGAAACAGGACGATGCACAGGCTGACGTGTCCAGTGGGTGGATGGGAAATGTCAGCATGGCCTGCCCTCTAGTGGAATCATCGGTCAGGCTCATCCATTCATTCATTCATTCGTCAGAGATGAGCGTTTAAGATCGGAGGTTGCTTGGGAGCCTAGGATGGGGACAGGGAGCGTCAGGTGCCCTCAGCCGGATGTATTATTTCCTGGGAGGAGGTGCCCCTGCTCCTGGACATGTCTCCCCGGGGGCCGGGGTCTCCCCTGGGCCTTTTGAAAGGCCATGGCCAGTTATAAGCTTCCACTCCCTCCTTCTAAGGTGACCGAATCTGCGGTCCCGTCTTGCTTTATTTTACAGTTCAGCTCTCCAAGAATACCCCCACTTTCATGGCCTGGGGCACCTCACTATTCCCCCATAAACCACAAAACCCGGCTCTGCCACTTCATCCCACAAACGTTGACTGAGCACACCGGAGCTTGTCTTCCTTGGGGGAGTCAGGGCTGGGCCAGCAGCGTGTCCTCTGGCCACAGCCCCCGGGAGGCGGTGAGCAGCCAGGAAGCTGCCGTGCGGCCTCCTCCCGCCCGCTCTGCCTCTTCCCTCCTCCTCCTGGGAACGTCCTGCTCTCCTCTGGGGCTCAGTCAGCAAGACCCAGACACGGGCCTGCAGAAGTGGAGGCTCATCTTAAAATTCCACAATGAGACCCAGAGCCCTACATTCCCCTCAAACCAGCAGCCCAGGCTGGGCCTCCAGGGATCCAGGCAAATCTTTTCCCTTTAGCGCCTGCCTTTCAGGAAGTTTAGAATATTCCCCAAAAATGTATGGGGGGGACGGGTTGGGGGCGGGCCTTAAGGCGAGCCCTGATCTGCCTGGACTGCCTCTCTTGTGGGGCAGTTAGCAGACCTCCGTTCTCACTTGGTTCTGACTAAACCCCGCGAGGAAGTGTTAGCGCCT